GCACTTGTCTGTTGAGCAACATTCAAGTATCTTAATGTAGGTGACACCCAACAGGGTGCCGTTGGTGGTGGTGTTGCAGCCAGCAGGCTCATGGCATCCCTGGGTGTTGAAGCCCACATTGGAAAGTCCTTGGAAAGCTGCGGAGAAAGGATTGTATGGGATTCATGAGAGTTATTAAGATACATTTAACCAAATACAGTTTTGAAGCACTGGTTCTGAATTTGAGTGATTCTACTATATTACTGTAATACTTATCACTCCACTGCATGGAAATATTTAACACTTTTTATTGACTCACATTTATATCTTTATTTTGCAGATTTGGATTTTACATTTAACATAAAAAAAATCATTAGTAACATTCTTTCCTTCACTTCCTGACTTCTTTTGTTCTCTCCTTCTTTACCTGGGCTGAAACCAAAACCCCCAAAACTGGAAATACAAAGTATGTGTCTGACAGTGAAACTTAAAATGAGTTCTTCACTGCTCGCAGCTACTTTTAAACTAGCATGCAGGACTTGTAAAGGAGTATTTAAGATTATATACAGGATGTTACACACTGTATATACAAAAAAAAATAAAGAAATAAATTACTGCATCGAATCATTAAGTAAATAAAGCCTGAATATCTGGTCAGATGATATACAGGTTCGTCAGCTGGGAACACTGGGGTGTGTGTGTGCGTGTGTGAGTGTGTAACTGGGCGTTAAAGTATTTGGGAGTGATTTTAATTTAATCATGGCTGTGCCCTAACTCATTGTTTGAAGGGAAAGGGTGTGAGCGTTCAGGCCATCAGGAGGTGACTTACTTATTTTTCCAGTAGAGCAGAGGCTGGTGTTGGTCGAGCAGGTCTCCTCAGAGGTGCTGAGGCAGAAGCCCAGCAGACCATAGCTGCACATGTTGCAGGTCAGGGCCTCTGCAACACACCAATGAAAGCACATAAAAAAAGCTGAGTATATAGTGTGATGACAGTAGTCACTGAATAATTGTGTGGTGAAGGGAAAGGAAATTAGCTTAAAACAGCTACTACAAACATAACCTATATCTCGAGGTGAAATGAATGATTGAACAAGAACTTACTATTAGCCGATGAATCTTTCATGATCTGCGAATCGGCCACGTCCTGCACTGTGACACAAGCAAAAGTCATCAACCCCTTAAGTATATAATCAAACTCTGCTGAAATATGAAAAAACAATCACACTGATTTCAACAATGCTGGATTGAATCTGATATTGTCATGGGATATATCAGGTGTAAAAGGATGGTAATCAGTGCTGTACTTTTACTGTTAATGCAGGTCTTGTACATGATTTGGAGGGTTGAAAAAGAATCAAAGGGCTATGATTTTATGTAAAGAGGGCCAGTTCACCCTAATCACACAAAGAAAATATATTGTCTAACTTTCCTATAGTGTTGTCAAAAGTTGTGGTTTCACTTGCTCAGTTTTAGATATCTGCCTCTAAGATTGTTTGCTGACACCGCGATTCAATGGAGGTTAATGGAATACTTTCACATACTTTCTTCCAAAGAAAAAGTCCCTTTCAAAATTTTTGAAGGTGAAGTTTGTGAATTATCACAAGTTCCCTTATTGTTTCTGAAAGGACACATTGATGTTGAGGTTTTCCAGTACCATTTTTTGATGCAGAATAGCGACCGCTCCACCTAGCTCGGTCTCTGCAAGGTGCTGGGAACATCAATATGTCCACATAGGTAGGAAAAATTTCTGCACACTTACATCTATGCTGTGTTTCGCTTTATTGTTGAGCTTTCGGTCAACATTAGACCTTCATCAGAGCATACATGAGGTTACTACATGTATGCTCATGTAGTGTCATTTTTAAAAATTATTTTCAGAAACACAAATTTGCTTCAAAATGAAAAAAAATAAAATCACATAAAACTAAAACTATCTGCATAGCTAGATCTTAGCATTTTTTTAATTGCTTGGGTGAAGTGGCGCCTTTAAAAAGTCTTTCTCAGAAAGCCCAAAACTTCCTTTAGTGACATGTTGGAGAATCATCAGAACCAACATGTGAAGTAGTTTAAGGACGCATTTGTTAAACAACATGAATTTGAGCCACCTTTTCATCAAAGCAAATCACTGTACACGCATTGGTTTGTGCAATGCGGGCAGCTGTGGCTCAGGAGGTAGAGCAGGTTTTCAACTAATTGGAAGATTGGCAGTTCCATCCCCGAGTATCCTTGGGCAAGACACTGAATCCCAAGTTAATGGCTGTGCCATCCGTGTGTGACAGTGTGTGAATGTTTGACTGAGTAGCAGTTGGCACCTTGTATGGTAGCCTCAGGCACCAGTGTATGTGAGCAGGTGAACACGTCAGGTACAGTAAAAGTGCTTTGAGTAGTCAGAAGACCAGGAAGGCGCTATACAAGCTGCCAGATGAAATGATTCTGATTTGTACAGACTTTCCAACCATAATACAGTTATAAACAGTCGGAAAAATACTCAATATTCTTGAAGTTCAAAAAGACTATAACAAAAGAGAATATTAGCGTCTAGTCTCTCTACTCTATATCAGCATGTTTTGTCCATTATTTGTCTTATTTTACTTTCCATTTTCATTAAATTTGTGATAACTGACTGATAATTATTAAACTTACCCAGCATGAACAATGCAACAGCTGCAATGACTCCAAATAGGATCCTTCCCATCTTTATTTGTTGGTTTGGTTCTTGGTTACTGCTCGGAGAGAAATGAAAATAGTCCTAGACACACTGATAATCCTGTTTGATGAGGCCATATTTATACAGTGAGGCAGATGATGGGAGGAGGCACGAGGGGTTCTTTCAGTTCTTCATCTTAACCCGAAGAGTCATTGAGCGTGGAGAAATGTGACGAACAATAGATGTAATGAGGAAATCTAAACCGCTTGAGCCTGCGACACAAGCAGAAGAATCAGTCATCGATAATTACTTTTAATTCACAACAGCAGCCCAGTCACCTGAACAAAATGTCGGCATTATACAGACTGTACTTTATGTATTATATCAACATGTCTTAAGTGACAAAGTTCAGATTATATGTATGTAAGCAGAGTTTTTCATCATGAACAAGGAATGGTGGATGATGAGAGACCTATAGGCGAAATGGCTGCCAAGTAGCAGACAACTGTTTGAGACCAACAGGTACTTCTTAATGGCACATTTCTAGACATGTTTGTAACAAACACACTGGGTATTTTAAGCTGAAACATCTTGTTTCCTGATACTAGCCAAGTAGGTTTTGTGCCTTAACCTATTGTTGTGGTACTTCAGATTGGTCTTGGTCTCAAGAACACTTTTTGAAGGTCTTAGCCTCGTCTCATGCTCAACTGTGTTTTTACTAAGTCTTGTCTCGGACTTAGACAAAGAGGACTTGGGATTTTATTTCAAGACCAGTCAAGAACACTCAGTGTTTGTATTTGATTGCTCATACAAAACAAAAACAAATTCCCATACATAAAATTGACCTCTACAATACCTTTCAAGACATTTCTCATGGTACACTTACACACACAAACAGTATGGCAAGAGGTGAGTCTTTCAGCTAAACATGAGGAGTGCCCATGGCTTTCATGTTCCACATTGTATTGTAAGTGTGTCAGCAGTGTATGACTCACTTGATCTGGGCTTGATCTCAACAACAGACCTTTAAAGCCTTGGTCTTGTCTCTGTTTTCATACGCTCAGGTCTTGGTTAGTACTTGGTCTTGATTTAGGCGGTATTAACTATAACACTGCCTAAACCTAACAACATGTTAAGCACAATGTTGTAGAAGGGAAAATTAAAAGATTAAGAAGCATAAAGTCTCAACATATCCACTACAAAGCTATCACGTGATGCAGACAAGCATTAAATCTTCTCACTCCAGAAGCTGGAACCAGAGAATATTTGGCGTTTTGGAGTTACTGCCTAGTGTTTGTATGCCTCTGCAAACCAGTCAAGTTGCTGGTAAAGTTTACATCCATGTCTGTTCAGACTCAATTGCAGACATGACAGCAGATGCTGCAAACACATTCTAAAACGCATGGATGCTTCACACACATTGTTAACCCACAGCACAGAAGATCTATACAATCAACACAGTTTCAAGGTGGACACCCAGGATAAGTGTCACCAATTTAGTATCTGACCAAATGTCTTCCCTTCTGTTCAGAATATTAGTGTTGATTAATGGCCAGAAAAGTATTTTTGCAAAACATTATGATGTCACAGTGAAGCTGACCTTTGAAATTTTGGATATAAAATTTCATCAGTTCATCATTTTATCCTATTAAACAATCGTGTGAAATTTTGTCACGATTAGCATATGATTTTTTGAGTTATGGTCAAATTTTTGTGACGTCACTGTGACCTTTGACCACCAAAAATACAATCAGTTCATTGCTGAGTTGAAGTGGACATTTGTGCCAAATTTGAAGAAATTCCCTCAAGGTGTTCTTGAGATTTTGCGTTCACAAGAATAGAGCAGATGGATGGGCACCCCTAAAACAATGCCTGTGGCCATGGCTGTCGACAGAGAAGAGGCCTTAAAATGACTGAAATGATTAGTTTCTGATGATTGGCTAATAAATCAGTCCACCATTTGTTTAGTTTATTTGCACATACATGAGTGTAAAGTGTGTTAAATGTGTGTTTCAGCTCTAAAGCAGTCTCCAGATCTCAAAGGCCAGACTACGCTTGACTCAGAGAAGGCTTTATTTGAGAGGCCATTTATAAAAACATCACATTTAACTTACTAACTGATGATTTATGGCTTTAAGGCTCTTTTGTTTGCCAGCAGGTTTGCTCAGGGTTAAACTGCAGATTTCCCCATACACTGAAAATGTCCTATTGTGTGCCAAAACCTGAAATCAGGACAGATGAGTTCTTTCACAGTCTCCACTGACGAGGTATCAAAACCTGAAGAACCAGTTGGTCCTGCAGAACAGCGACGAGATGAGAGACATTTAGAAGGAAGAAACAAAATCACAACAGTGACGCACACAGACAGACACAGTTATTTTTCCCAGTTGGACATTTATTGCATTCTTGGGATTGTCTACATAACCAATTTTGCAAAAACATTCAGACATGTTTCTTTTTTGGAGAATAATGCCAAAAGTGTCGATTTCAGGAACTCAACTTTAATGATTTGTGTACATTGGCCCTGACATATTTCAAATTGCTGCAATCTCATTACATTTCTATTTCTGCAAACACGACTGATTTTATCACGTTCTTCCCATATATACATTCAAAACTAGCAAGATAAGCATTTACTCCACAGTTTAACGAATAATGAGCAGTGTGGATCTGACACAAATATCAAAAAATAAAACAGATTAAACACAGAACTGATGGAGCTATTTGTGTCAAAATAGAAGAACCAGCTAAACAAAAAGAAATATTTTCACAGACACTACCAGACATAAGCCAAAAGATATTTTACATAATGTTAGCTACATAATAATAAAGCAAACAAATGGCAATAAAAGAAATGAATACAAACGGAAATGTTCTTAGGTGCATTGAAATCACAATATTTGTAATAAAACGACACTAAAATGACATACAGTTCAACATTTTGTGAATTTAGATTGCTCCTCTTCCTGTCAAGAGTTAGAAGAGATGGACAATACCACTTTCACATGTGTAAGGTAAACATGGAGCTGCAGCTAGCCGCCTGTTAGCTTAGCATACAGACTTAAAACTGGGAAATAGCTAGCCTGGCTCTGTCAAATTGTTAAAAAAAAATCTTACTACCACTTTCAAAGCTCAATATTTAAGTTACGTGCATGTGTAAAAAATGCAACTTGTTAACTAGAAAGCTTTAAAGTTGCTAGCAGGTAAATTCTTTTTCCGTCGGACTGCATCAGGCTCTCTGCTTCCCCCTGTTTTCAGTCTTTATGCTAAGCTAAGTTAACTGGCTGCTGGTTATAGCTTCATATTTATTTGGAAAGAAACGAGAGTGGCATCAATCTTCTAATCTAACTCTCGGGGGAAAAAAAGGTGAATAAATTTTGCCGGGTTGTTGGACAGTTCCTTTAAGCTACTTTATAATGGCACCAAAAATAATCTCTCATTGGTTTGTGGACACCTGTTTTCTGGCCATCGCCATCTTGGTTTTCTGGAGCCAGAAGCGACCATATCTACATGCGGATTAGTGAAAATTTGCGATATAGACCCAAAACCATATTTTGTACCGGCCTGTAAACATGTTTATTTCTGCTGTCAAGTTTACATTTTAGCGTAGGTGTGTATGAGGACTGTCTCGCTTCTGGAGCAAGCCTCCGCAGTTTTTGACCCCTATGTGATGGCCTCATTGTCTAGCCCTTGAACGGCACCAATTGACCTACAAAACAAATTACTTACACAACACGTGATTCATTTATCAAAACTTTACAGTACTCATTGTAAGCAGGTGGTGGACTCCTTGAATCACCTTTGATGTCTTGTGTTACTCTAAATTGTTGGTAAACTAACATTTAGATACTTCTTAAAGTGAAATGAGGACTGGGACATCTTACTGATTAAAAGGGGGGGTAATTTAAACTTGCATTAGCATTTGTGTGACAGTACACTTCAAGAGCAAAGAACACGTGTGGAGAAAAAAATCGTGTCTGAGGAGATAATTTAATCCTTGTAGTGCTGGTGTGTGTTCAATATGTAGTGTGTGTTTTATGTGTGTGTGTATGTGTGTGTGTGTGTGTGTGTGTGTGTGTGTGTGTGTGTGCGTGCGTGCGTGCGTGCGTGTGTGGACGCGCACGTTTTGTAATCTGTCATCTACTGTTTTCAATCAAACCAGGATGTTGGCCATAAACAGAGCAGCGACGGCGGCAAAGGCCAGGCTCAGCCCGGAGGCCCCGGGCAGACCGGGCGCAGCGTTGCACAGCTCAGTGTTGCAGCATGTCTTGGTCATGGAGTAGACGGTGGTGTTGGAGCTGCTGCTGGGGAAGTTCACGTCTTCGGTCATGTTGCACTTGGCCACTTCTAGACAGCCCTTCATCTGGATATCAATGACTTTGGCTGTGGAGTGACGACAAACACACACACAATTACTTAGTGTCTATTGTTCACTGTGTTTCACTGAAACGGTTGCACGGTGAGAGGTATGTGCTGCACGGTGAGAGGTATGTGCTGCATGATGCTGCTGGGTGAAGACCTTGTTACTCCAGTTTTGGTGATTCCCAGGTTTCAATTGCAATTAAAAGGCTATGAACGGGGCGTTGGTGGCTTGGTGGTGCGGCGGGCGCCCCATGTGCGGAGCTGTTGCCGCAGCGGCCCGGGTTCGACTCCGGCCTGTGGCCCTTTGCTGCATGTCTCTCCCTCCCTCTCTCTCTCTCCCCCTTTCACATTTCACTATCCTATCAATTAAAGGCAAAAAAATGCCCATAAAAATATCTTAAAAAAAAAAAAAAAAAAGGCTATGAACACATTTCCTTTCTGTCACCAAGTCCTAGGTTTGTTCTGAAGACATATATCTTTATAAATGGACTACAAATATATAGTTACAATTCTAAAAAAAAAGCCTAGGTAATTTCCTTAAACACTGCACGTTAGTGTAACAGGAGTAAAATGTGCATGTGCTGGGGTTTATTTTCAGCTGTACGTTTGATGCTCTACTGAGCAGGATTACCTTAAAATAAACTACAGTGTTTGTGTACATGTGGGCTCATTGATGTGTGCCTAATAGTTTTTTTTGACAAAGTGTCAGACTGATTTAATGGCTTATCATCCTGGCACAGGGCGGCACGGTGGTGTGGTGGTTAGCACTCTCGCCTCACAGCAAGAGGGTTGCCAGTTCGATCCCGGGCGTGGGAGCCCTTCTGTGCGGAGTTTGCATGTTCTCCCCGTGTCAGCGTGGGTTCTCTCCGGGCACTCCAGCTTCCTCCCACAGTCCAAAGACATGCAGGTTAATTGGTGACTCTAAATTGCCCGTAGGTGTGAATGTGAGTGTGAATGGTTGTCTGTCTCTATGTGTCAGCCCTGTGATAGTCTGGCGACCTGTCCAGGGTGTACCCTGCCTCTCGCCCGATGTCAGCTGGGATAGGCTCCAGCCCCCCCGCGACCCTCAAGAGGATGAAGCGGTTAGAAGATGAATGAATGAATCATCCTGGCACAATAAAAATCATCTCAATCTTTTGATGAAAACACTTTCACAAGTGCCAAGTTATTCTCCTCCGAAGGTATTGTGAGAATGCAACTGACAGGGTTTCATGTGCGTGTTGATGACAACCTTCCTTTTAGAAGAATGTCATCTAGTGAGATTTTTAACTTCTGAGCTCCTTACCTGCTTTCCCGACACCACTGAAGCAGTGTTCTCCGCTTTTACATGTGGTTTTAGTGGTTATGCAAAGGTTCCAGAGGCCAATGGGGCATTTGTAGCACTCCATAGCTTGAGCTGGTAGCAGAGAGTGGGAGGGGAGGGGAGGAGGGAGATGGAGGTAAGGAGGAAAGAGGAAGGAGAACAGTAGAATTAGCATAAATAGGTTTGAACCAAGCTATAATTAGAAGGTTAAAACCCAGGCTGATAAATAAGTCTGAACACCAATAAACATTTTGTGATGTCTGTCTAAACTGAAGGCCTTCGCTGAGACTGTTTCGTTGTTGATCATCTACTTAGATGACGCAGTGTGGCATTTACAACAAAAGATTTGCTATAAGATAATGAGACAACGCCAGTGATCATGGACAAGACAAATGGGCGACCTTTGACCTGTAACCTACCAGCTCTTGATAGCATCCTTTAAAGGTCCTGAATGTAACTTAGAGAAATTTCCTTTTTCCTCCATTAGGTGAACTGCAGTCAATATGCTGTTGTTTGCACTCCGGTGCTCATACTTTCTTTAACATCTAACAAACCTTTATAAACATGACACCCATTTCTACCCATTTTTGTGTTGATCCACTAATTGATTAAATTAACTAGTTATTCCGAGTCTCAACCTTGTGGGGAAATGATTTCAAATTCGCAGAACAGCCAAGTTAACCATTTTCTTCATGATGCTTTTCTTTATCCAAATTAAGGATCTAAGGCAGTGATACTCAATTTATGGTGGTCCACTGTGCATTTTCTAATTCACAATGAAAATAAATCAATTAACAATGGGATTTTTCTGCACTATCGATGTAAAAAAGATGCTTGAGTGCATTAAAAAAACATCAAAATAGAGGTTGTTTTTGAAAAAGTGCCACAGACAAATCCTCCAGAAACCTGACAGAGGTCTGGGCTAAGCGCCAAATGTCCTCACATCCTGGAAAGTGACCTCTGGGCTCCTGTTATTTTGTAAATGTGACCCTCGGGTGAAGCAAGGTTCTTGCATGCAGAAAAAATAGTGAAACCCCCAGACAAATAATTTTGAGCATTATGAATTAAACTTTTTACCAGTTTCATGAACAGCTGTGAGTTCATTTCCAGACACAGAAAAATGACTGCAGACTACAGATAATTGTACCCTGTGCAGAAACCTATAAATTCAAACCATTAGTTTGCATAGTGGAAACTCTGAAGTTGGTTTAAAGTTGAGGTTTGTTGACAAAGACCTGCCTCACAGATAACAGGCCCAAAACGGTGGTCATCAACTCAGGATGTTCGTCAGCTAAGGATTTTCCAATCAAGCTCACAGAGAGTGAGCTGACATGAACAAGGTGGGGGTTTTCACAACGCTGACAAATTCAGAGCAGCATGCGGTGAAGAATGTGGCGCATCAGGAAATACAAGGTGAACAGGAAATAACATTCAATACATAAAATAAGGAATATGGACAGCAACAATAAATACACAACCACAACTTAAAAAATGGGAACTCCTATTGAATATACACTTAAAGATCAGTATGTTTATAGCTCTGGAGAAACATTGCTGATTCTGAAAAACTGGCTTATCTCTTCAAATGCTGACCAGATAACTCTTAAATACCTGCTGTGTCCATATTTCCATACTAATTGTGTAGAGTACAGTCTTGTGATTTTGCAGTTATTACAAGATATCAATCTGCACCAACAAGAAGTGATACAAGTATAACATAATAAATGTGGACTAATGAATTGTTTGTATCATCTGTATCATTGTATGTGATTGTGGTTTAAGATCCAGGTGTGTGTTTATATAAACAAACAGTGATATGATGTAAATGCAGACATGCATATGGGTGTCAGTCAAACTGCAATGTTGGAATGACTTCAAGCTTCAAGCTGTGCCAAAGAGGAAGTAAAATGTTTTTCGTTCTCAACACTGTCCACGCCTTGTTTTATGTGTTTGGATCAACAACACTTTCACAAAGACAAAACAAAACAAAAACAGGGAGAGAATCAAAATCTAACTACGCCATATTAAATTATTAGACTTGAATTGGGGCGGCTCTGTAGGGTTTTACCAGGACTGCAAGGTCTAACAGGGACGTCAAAATGTAAAATCAAGTGTCTTCAGGGACTTTTTTTTTAAAAATTTGTCCCCCACAAGTAGTGACAGCTATGTATTTATGCAGACTTAAAGTTTCCGCAGTATAAAAGATTGTAAAATTGCAAATATAGTGAATTTATATGAACAAAACGTAAATAAAACCAACCCAGTGGAAGTTGTGACTTGAGAGGGTTACAGGAGATAAAATGGCTGACACTGTACTTAAACAACATTATAATCACATAGTCAACTCTGATGTTTATGAAGTCATACTAGGTATGTTTACATGTACACTAGTGTTCCACAATTCTTCCAAATATGACAATATTCTGAATTTAGAAAAGGTCATTTAAACAGCTTAGATATTCCAAATTTGGCCTTCTTCAAAATGAAACATCTTATGTGGGATATGCTGGTAATATTCAGGATTTAGGAGCAGTATTTGGACATGAAGACAATGCATTCAGAAAATGTGTCTCAACTGTGGTTTTGCTGCAGTTTGCTGTTTGTTGTTATACACAAACCAACTCTCCAACAGTTTGCAAGGCTGTGGGGTAGAGATGCATGCCCAAAAGAAAAGCCCACATTTCTGGTCAGAAGGAGAAACAAACCATCTTTAAACATAATGAGAGACGTGGATATCAACAAGTCTTTAGTTATGTGTAAATATCTTGACGTGGACCATTTCAAAAAGGTTGTTAAAGGAATTTGTGAACTATTTTTTTCATTAGCTATGTAAACAACTGAAAAGGATTATTGCCCTTTTATGCATGTAAACAGTGACTGAGGCTGCAAACATAAACTTCAAGTCATGTGAGGTGGAAAAAGAGCATGTGATAAACTCTCTCAGTAACATCACAGGAGAACCTGATACACACCCATGAACTCTATTGTCACTGCCAGCAACAAAGCTACTTGCCAGCAAGCCTTGTATTATTATGAACTGAACTGAACATTGCTCTGGACATGCTCCAAAAAAAATAAAAGCTAAGCTCAACAGTAGAACCGCTCTGCTGTCACAGCTGCCAGTTTTCTTAAGGACAGGTCAAATGATAACTGGGAGTGGTGATACCAGATGGAAAAAAAGACTTTGTTATTTTCATTTTTTTAATATTTAAAACAACCTACTCAGTGCTGTCTGTTGTCACGGTGAGACACCAAACCTTGAAGATGAGTGGCTATTGTGAAGCTGAAACTGTGTGACTCAGCGCTGGGAGGGAAGATACTCAACAATTAGAGTGAATTCTGTTAAAACTACCGCTAGAAACCAGTTGCTCCAGTTCCATCGTCAGCGCCCCATTACATCAGTCATTATGGGAAGTACATACTGAAGTCATGTCTGCAAAGATCCCTTTGCTTCTTTTTTGTTTTATTAAGATTTACAGTGTGTAGTTGATTTAAAGCTGTAATAATAAGCTTGTAAAGCCCCTTTGATTTTTGTTTTATTTGACTGTATTGTGTGTGAATGTGTCTTTAACATGAGCGGTTTCCTTTATGTACAGTCAGTTACTTTGGTGAACAATAGCAGACATAAGTGGAGCTGACATTGAATTGGTTTATTTAACATATTGGCCATTGGTTTAACATATTCAGGCCTCTAAACATCATTCAAACGACATAACAGGGGAAGCAATCTTAGAAAATCACTCAATATTTATATTTAGCTGAGTGATAAAGCTTTAAATCCAATTATTTCACCATTACAGAAAAAGAAAGGGAGCTTCGTAACAGCAGCCACTGGAGCCACAAGCCGCAGTTATAATAGAAAGCAGTGTAACAGTACCAACTGAAGAGTCAATATCAGAAATAAAAAATCTGTAATAAAATGTCGCGCATGTGTGTGACAGTGGCCGCTCCTTGTTGTGGCCATTTGATAGGCAAACCAAAAGTTGGGGCTAATTTTATAATCTGTGGCCAGGAGGCGTTTAGGTGGGAGGAAATTCTTCGTCGATAGGCACAGAAGTAAGAGGCCTCTGTTTGCTGATTGGCTGTGGGTATACATTGAATCACAATGTTTGTTAATAATAACTTCCTGGTACAAACCCCCCACATCACGTACATAAAATGAGACAGCCCTGAGTGAACTCTGCCTCAATTAGTTAGTTTTAGCCACCTAAAAAAGTTTAAGACGTTAAAATGTTACAGTTACGCCTGAAAGTGACAACAGATATAAACAAGTTTGACCATTTAGCATATTTTCGCAATTAAAAACAACTGGCACTGTGGTCGCCCNTTGTTGAAAAACGCTTGCCAAAGTGCCCTCTTCGGAGCCAAAACGCGCACTAAAGTGCCCTGCTGGGAGCCAAAACGCACGCTAAAGTGCCCTTTTTTTTTTTTCACCCCTGCGCTTCAAAAAGTCTGTGCACGCCACTGTCAGCCACTATCTTTTCTTAAACCCTAACCAAGTAGTTTTGTTGCCTAAACCTAACCACCAGCCCTTCTTAGTCACGAGGTGACTCATGTGACTTATCGCCCTTCTGCGTCAAGATCAGACCCCCAGGAATGCAGCTCAGCCTTTCACCAATTTTTACCAATTGTGGTATTACAGCAAAAAAATCCCCAGTGGTCCTAAAAGCACTTTCCTCATAGGCCACCATTATATAAGATGAGACTCTTTCTATTACAAATGTTTGATCCATGGAGGTTTTATATTCGTAAAACCTTCCTCAAGCCAAGAAAAGTGTTTTAAAATCATCTGATGTCATCACAGGTGAGCAACTCCATTGGATGAATAGGCGCCATCTTGGGATCCGGTATCGAGGTATTATTATAAATCCATGGTCAAGATACAACACAGGAAGCTGCTACCGGCATCAGTATTCTAACGCCAGGGATTTCAGACCAAGTGTCAAAATATGACAAGTAGGTATGAGATCAGCTTGGTCGGGAATAAAGGACAGATTGTTAGATGATGCAAGAAGAGATGCAGCTCATATCAGCAAACATGTAGTCTCCCTTTAAAGTGTCACACTACTCTTACAAAAACTAACATGATGTAT